TTATTTTTTTTAATTAACATGCTTTAACGTATGCGATGGTTTGTCTAGTCGCGCAACCTCCAAACATGACAATTTCAGATCTTAACTAGAAAACTGACCAGTCAGCAAGGGTCCCGCTATGGGGTAGAATTAATAGGGTGCAGCTTACGGAATGATTAAAAAATGTACGAAGAATAAGCAACAGCAACTGTATTCTTAAGAGCCAGTCCGCGAGAAAACCATGCAAAATTCAAAAAATCGTCCAAATGGAAGGTTGCAACTTGGGAGTTTTTAGTGGCTTAAAATTTTCTACATAAAGGTAGAAGTCAGAATATTCACAAAAAAATGTTGAACCCTGCACCTATTTTTAGTAACAGCTCATTTGCATATTTGTCGAAAATCACACAAAATTCAATGGAAAATGTATACAAATTGATCAAGTCAAAAAGTTACCTTTTGTAATCAGTTTATTTTCAAATTTTGTTTTATTTTCAAAGTCATGGTCCAATTAACACAATTAATGAGGAAAAACTGAATTCAAATGAATATTTTATTTTTTACACATCTATTTATAGATCCTAAATAAATGAGTATGATTTTTTAGCCATTTTTAGATGCTCGTTTCTCTCAAGACCAAGGTTGAAATTAAATTAAATTAATTGTTACTTTAAGAATGATCTAAGGTCTACTTTGTATTAAAATATTGAGCTTGGGAAATAATATCTAAATTTTTTAAATTAACTTTGAAATACCATATTTGGCTACAATTTCACATATTTTAAATATCAGTCTTTTACCATATTTTTGGATTATTTCTATGATATTTAAATGAAAAATAGAAGATTCTTAATCTAATATATTTTTTAAAAGAGGAATAACTGATTTGGATACTTCATATAACTTTCTTTTGCTTATTTTAGCCCCTTGTTACCAATTTCCTGAAGTTAAATTGTTATCTCCCCTTGCTGGAACTCTTTAGTATTATTGGGTAAAAAGTGACAGGTATGTCAATATGGAAAGAAGAAAGTCATGTATGATTATTTTTTCTGTACCTAGGGAGTTTTTGTGGAGCATTATTGCACTATGAAAGAGGGAAAACTTATTTTAAGATATTTGAATGTAAGAAAGAAACAACAACTTAGCTTGAATAAACAAAACAGGCCCATAGGAAGCAATTTCAGTGTAGGGGAGGGGGGACAACCTACAATTCTACATTATCAACTACCAAGAATTCCATAGAAAGTAAAAAAAAATTGAAAGGCCATCAGATGTTTTTTTTTTTATTTGGGGCATATACATGTAGTAGCTATGCTTTCTATAGGGTTCTGTCCTCGGGGAATCTACATGTATTTCATGGTAATTAACAGTTACAAAATTTTTCCTAACAAGTACATTTGAATAGGAAATTTAATCAAATAATAACAGAACATTTTAATCAAAATATACATTTGATATTTTGTTTAAGGCACCTGGCCCCCGTTCAAGTTCAAGATCATTTTATTCACTCAAACCATTTCAGGTACATGAGGACAATGAAGAATATTTACAACATATATTTATTATAAATTTAGGTCAGAGGTACAAATATATGATATACATAATTAGAATATGAAAAGGAAACGAAAAAAGAAAAACACATATGAAACATGTAATAATGAAATAAGCGAGGGGAAAAATCATGGAGGACTGACTAACTAAAATCATATATTTTCAATATAAACGTACGTAGTTTTCGTAGTGTCTCAGCAACGTGTTTTGTCATCAGTTGAGAAAATATGATAAAGAATAGTAGAATACAAACCTGTCAGGTATTCGATTGCATACTCTCAGCAAATGAAAAAATAATTGGTAATTTCAATCTACATGTAAATTGTTTACGTTTCATAAATTTAGTGTGTTTTTGAGTTAACCAAACACCGTCATTCCTAGGAATATTGTTAATTTTACATTACATACATGTACTTTAAACTACTGTGTTACATAACATTCATATATTGATAAAGTCAGATCTCCAGTGGTGTATATTCCATATAGGCAAAAAGGCTGTAGCCTACACATCATTTCCTCAAGAGTAAAACTTTGGTTGAATAAAGGGGCGGGGAGTTGATAATAAATCGTACCTATTAATTTATTTTGTTGGAAATGAAAAAAAAAGTATTCTTTGCAATCCCCACTTTTATGCCTAACCATTATGTTTACAGTTTTGCTTTATATTTAAGGACAAAAGTATATTCCTTAGCTTGACATTTTTTTAAGCCAAAGTTCAAGTGTTATTAATATCAAGTCTGTATCAGAAAATTTAATCAAAAGCAACAGGATCCCATAATATGTGCAGGAAACGAAATTGATAACTTGCATTATATTTGTTAGTCAACATTTTGATCGAATTTTGATTATTTAGTAAGGAAGTTTCCATATTTTCTAAGCGGGTATCAAGTAAAAGGATAAGTTCTCAGTTTTGTTAAGTGGTCTTCACATCACGATATAAATTGTTGATTATTTAGTAAGGAAGTTTCCAATATTTTCTAAGCGGATATCAAATAAAAGGATAAGTTCTCAGTTTTGTTAAGTGGTCTTCACATCACGATATAAACTGTAATATATGTACAATATTATTTTCACTGGTCAAATTAAAATTGCAGATGTCTGAGTTTGCAAAAGTGGTCCCTTTGACCCCCCCCTCAATACCTATCGAGAGGAAGCCCCTTGTCTACCAAAGCTTTGCAGCTCAGGTTCAATATGTGGCTTCACACAAGCCTACACCTTAGCAGAAAGGAATATACGCCACTGATCTCTTATTAAAAATCATCAGCTCAAAAGGAGATGCCACCGATTTAGGTACCCCACCGATATAGGACCCTCCACGTTTAATATTGGCAAAATTATTCAGGGGAGGGCACTCCCCCCCCCCCCCCCCCAAGAAAATATGAGTCGTTACTGCAGCCAAAACTTTGCCAGTTTGCAGTACAAAGTGGTAAAAATTTAAAACCGGCTATAAACATGATAAACATGATAAAAGACTGGATTCATATTCATTCAAATTGGGGGGGGGGGGGGGGGGGCTTATAAAATTTTGTCGAAATTATTTTAAAAAAATTATTAATAAAATTGTATAAGGCTTTGTAAAGTAATATTTGATACTTTTTTCTGAATAACCATAAAGGTATTATTAATACCATTGCAGAAAGAGATAAATTGTTTTTTTTAAATATTATATCACTTATATGTATCCACTGAAAACAGTTGGGGGAGGGGGCGTGTCAGTCGATCAAGGTCAGGATATTAAATATACGAGTGTATCTAGTACCCAATCGTTTCACCCCATCCACCTCCCTACAATTTACATACTAATATTGAAATGGATAAAATAATGAAAAATTATAAGGGTTCTGGAGGGGGGTTGCTAAAACGAGGAACGGAAAACGGGACGGAAAACGTATTATATTTTTTATTTTAGATTAAATCACTTCATATACACAAATTTATAAACAATATATATTTTATAAATTCAATCCCCCATTATTTAATTCAGGTTGATTTATTCGTGTTCATAAAATCTCTTATTCACGAAAATCGCAGTCATAGCAGTGATGTAGAAACGATTTTAAAGGGGGGGGGGGGGGTAAAATTAAACTTACCTGAAAAGAATATTTGCCAAGCGAAAAAAGAAGACAATTGTTTGATTCGGGAAGTGGAATAAGAGTAAACTCCAGCATCTTTCATTTTCTTAAACTCCTTTATGGAGTATTTTGTATAACATCTCCTGTTAGTATTTTTAAAAGATTGTACCAATTTAAAATTGGCAGAAAGCAAACAACTTAATGAAGGCTCAAATTTTATATGTTCAAGTCTCAAAATTTATATGAATGATACTGAGAGTCCGTTTGAATTTAAATACTTGTAATTTCCCTTTTATTAATTAAAAAGATACTAACTTACTGAATACAAAATGTAAGGAACATGAATATTCATATGATTGTTTAAAAATTGCAAGTAAGCTTTTTTTCATTTCTAAACAATTGGCAAAATGCTAATCCTCATATTAGGGGTAATTTCTGACAATTTAGTTTAATTTAATTTTTAATTTTAATATTTTTCAATCTTAATTATTATTTCAAAGAAAATTGTTACATGTTTCAATATCTAACATAAATTGTTTATAATTTTAAGTACTATATTTGACTTTGTAACCCATTTGAGTTTGAGCAATTTTTTCAAAAATTGGCAATATGTAAATCCCCATATCTCAATTATTTATTATATCCCAAGCTCAATATTTTGCAAAGATAATGTTTAGAGTTATATTTGTACAATAAAATCAAAAAAATTAATTTCAAAGATTGGTCTTGGAAGATTTGGGGCATTAAATTTGTAATGCTTTTGGCAATTCTTGAAAATTGGCATCATGCCAATTTTCAAGAGTTGTCTGCCCTTTGATATATTGCATATTTGATTATGATAAATGTCAATTTTGAAAGAACATAGTCTTATGTTACTTAAAAATACCTTAATGGAAATGCAAGTTTAATTTTGAGTAAAATAAATTAAATGTGAATTTTACCATTTTTCTTGAATTTTTTTAAGTGCACTTGTACTTAAATGTGCAAAAAGGAGTTGGCGCTGCCTACGGCTGCCATGTTGAATGATGGGAATTTTTTTGGCCATTTTTGAATAACATATTATAAAGTCAAACTACCCACCAAATTTCATTAAGATATGACAACCTTCGATTTGGACAGTTCTGCATGGTTTTCTCGTGGACTGACTCTTAAAGTTTCAAGATAATTCCTGAATATTCAAAAACCTGAAAATAATATCCTTGTATTTCGATAGGCAGTAAAGAACAACTTAACATTGAATGTATATTTAAACAATAGTGAAGCTTGTGTTATATAAAATGCCAGCCTTCAAAAAATGCAAATATCATGAAGGCTTGACCTTAACTTCAAACAAACAGCAGTTGCAGACAAAGGTTTTCATTAATCTTAAAGCGACAGATAAAGAAGTCTACTAAATTTTCTGCAGCAGGCTAGATAATTAATCCCTTGGGATTAATTGTACCTCTCTCATCATTTTTAGCTCTACTGGTCAGAGACCAGAAGAGCTTATGCGATAGTAATGCGTCCGTCGTCCGTCCGTCTGTCTGTCTGTCTGTCTGTAAACAATTTTTCAAAATGCTACTCCTCCTACAGTTTTGGTCCGATTTCAATATAACTTGGCACACAAGTAGACTACACTAAGATACATAATTTTGTGCATCGGTTTTTGATTTCAATGATTGGTGTTGCCGTGGTTACTAAAAATAGAAATTTCTGTGAAATTCTTTCAAAATGCTACTCCTCCTACAGTTTTGGTCTGATTTCAATATAACTTGGCACAAAAGTAGACTACACTAAGATACATAATTCTGTGCATGGGTTTTTGATTTCGATGAACGGTGTTGCAGTGGTTACTAAAAATATAAATTTCTTTGAAATTCTTTCAAAATGCTACTCCTCCTACAGTTTTGGTCCAATTTCAATATTACTTGGCACACAAGTAGACTACACTAAAATACGTAATTCTGTGCATTGGTTTTTAATTTCGATGAACGGTGTTGCCGTGGTTACTAAAAATATAAATTTCTTTGAAATTCTTTCAAAATGCTACTCCTCCTACAGATTTGGTCCGATTTCAGTATAACTTGGCACACAAGTAGACTACACTAAGATACATAATTCTGTGCATCGGTTTTTGATTTCGATGAACGGTGTTGCCGTGGTTACTAAAAATAGAAATTTCTTTGAAATTCTTTCAAAATGCTATTCCTCCTACAGATTTGGTCCGATTTCAGTATAACTTGGCACACAAGTAGACTACACTAAGATACAGAATTCTGTGCATCGGTTTTTGATTTCGATAAACGGTGTTGCCGTGGTTACTAAAAATAGAAATTTCTGTGAAATTCTTTCAAAATGCTACTCCTCCTACAGTTTTGGTCTGATTTTGATATAACTTGGCATACAAGTAGACTACACTAAGATACATAATTCTGTGCATCGGTTTTTGATTTCAATGAACAATGTTGCCATGGTTACTAAAAATATAAATTTCTTTGAAATTCTTTCAAAATGCTACTCCTCCTACAGTTTTGGTCTGATTTCAGTATAACTTGGCACACAAGTAGACTATACTAAGATACATAATTCTGTGCATTGGTTTTTTATTTTGATGAGTGGCAAGGATCATTTTTCTATTTATTGCTGATTTAAAGTCTCAAGTCCCAACTGCTACTTTTCTCTTCCTTTGTTTTAAGTATAAACCAGTAGAGCTACAGTCTCGACAGAGACTTCTGGTTTCAGTATTAATGATAGAATGGGGTTTTTATACAACTATCCTAAAAATTAATAATATTCTTGAATTAACATAAAGTGAAAAAAGTAAATAAAAAAAATCTTCTTAAATCTATTTCTTGTTATTAGAATTCAATGAAATCATAACTATTTAACAAAAATAAATTATAAAAATGTATATTTAAATCCACATTTCAGAGTTTTCATAGCATTCCAAATTGACTTAACTACAAAACAAACTTCATTTGCAGACAGAGGTGGTAATTCATCTCAATTTGACAGATAAAGATAATGCTCTGGATTTTCTTCAGGAAGAAAGCTAATTAATCCCAAGAGACTCATAGCAGCATTCAGTTTACAATGGGAACATCTTCAGCAGTTATCTCTCTTTGCCAATGCTTTCTTATATAAAGTTAAGGAATCTACCCCTCTACCCAAGCTCCAAACCAGGGGACATAGAAAACCAAACTTAGCATCAAAATATGTATTTCTGCCTACTGAACTACCATACCAAATTTGTACTTGATTGGGCAACCATAAAAAAAAGTTGTCCATTCATTCTTATGCATAGTTAAGGAATCTACCCCACCACCCTAGCTCCAAACCAGAGGACATAGAGAATCAAACTTAGCATCAAAATATGTATTTCTGCCTACTGAACTACCATACCAAATTTGAAATTGATTGGGCAACAATTAAAAAAGTCATTAGAAAAAAAACACAGAAAATTTGTGGACGGAAGAGTGACAGACAGAGAGACAGACGGACGGACAGAGTGATTACTATAGGGCACCCGCAAATCCTTGCGGGGCCCTAATAAACTATAAATTGAAAAATATTGTTTTTTTTTTCTTATCCAATTTGACCGTAATTTTTTACAATTTGACGTCATACAACTGTGATAGATGATTTATTTCTGATATTAATTTATATATTTTAGTACTAAATAATTCAGTTGAATTATCATATTTATTTCTTTTCAGCATTTCATATATTAAATAAATGCACATGGAATTTACACCAATATGTGTTCATTTAGTTATTTATAGATGTGTGACACCACAGTGGTCATTTAAACCCCTGTCCTTTCTATTTATATCTTGTGTAATGTCAAGGCCAACTAAAATTTCATAGGTTGGTCAGTTTACCTATCTTTAGATTTTAAGCTTATTAATTACTTTTGTTGAAGATTTTGATGTGAGCAGACAAATTGCCTTGTTTATATTTGTTTCCCAAATTTCATGATGTTGACATATTTATGACCAAGAAGAAGAATGTTTCCAGTTTTAGAAACAGCAGGTTTATATATTTTTTTAAATAGAAACATCTAGTCCATACCACTTTTATACTTGTGCTCTAGTTTGAGCCAATCAGATATTTGGAACAATATAGAAAAATAATAATCTAATATATTTACATTTGCAAATGTTTGCCTTTATATAACACCTTTGTCATGTGACCATAAATTGCTTTGGTAGTCCTATGCAGTCTACATAATTCCATAGTGACGTCATAAGTAATCAAAGTGTTCAACACATTCAATTTTATACCGTTGCGATTTGAAATGTAAATCCTTTAGTTATTTTTCGCATTGTTGAAGCAGTAGTTGGAGTTCGGAGGGATTGTTAATATTTGCGTGGGTGAAGCTCCCTTCTGGTTGCACTGGCCGTAAGCTTAAACCTTGAAAGACTGGTAAGAGAAAGAATATGGTAGCAGAGAATTTATTTTACGGAGATTCAGACGAAAATACTAGTGAATGACCGACTTCGAAAATCCAAGATGGTGGACTCGATGTGTACCTTGATTTTTATTAGGTATATGGATATATTTTTTTATTAAAAGAAAAATAAGTAACAAACGTCAAGTGCATGTGGTTAAAACGGTAAAAATCACGGTCCAGTGTAAGTTTCCTAGGAGGATCAATTTTTGCTTTCCCTCAATTAATCAATCCCTTTACTTAAAATATACAACTCATATGCATTTTGATTAGCTCATTTGCATAGAAACTGCCTAATCTTAACTCACTTGCGCGTTCATCGCGTGAGGGAAATCTTAAATGCGGATACACAGTTAAGTGAAGATCTTTCTATTTGATTTGGATTCATATACAACATTTTAGAGTACTCTAAGTATTTGAAAATGTCCGGGGGTGTGCAAGATGGGTGCCAAGACTCTTAAATCTATACTTATAAATTAACAAATTTTGCAAATAAACTCTGAAACGGCTGCACAAGAGTTCTTACTTAAGCCCGAGGAATACACTAGATATAAGGTGATGTCCGTAAACTATATTCAGATTTCAATCGCATAGTAATTTTCGTAAATTTAATTAAAAGTCTACTTTCATTTTCGAATAGCAGCCTCGAAATAGCACTAAAGAGAAAAGTGGTGGCGGATCTAAGTAACTGGCATTTACAAAAAAAAAATACTAGATATAAGGTGATGTTTTTAAAATTTATAAAATTGTCATTATAATGACATATTCTTATATAATTACTGAAACTTTACAAAAATCCCTTAGACGAGTGGTGTATGAACAAGATAGCACCTTTGGTAAATCTAGTCATCATAAAATACCCAAATTTGATTTTAAAATCGATTCCTTACAAGATTAGTGTAATGCAGCATTTGAAAGAGACAAAAATTAGAAGTCGTTTGAGAGTCATTGGTTTTTGATTAGACCTGACTCTGAAATTTAAAAGATGCATGATTTTTCCATTTATCCATGAAGGCCACTTCCATTTAAACAATGTTGTTAAAAGAGAATCTTATGTATAAATTTCATTGTTTGGTGAAACCCAATTTTAATGTGGAAAAACTTTAAAACAGTTAGAATATTACATTTAAAGCTTGGTAAATAAAAACGTCAGGAATTGTGTACAAACAATGTTAGTTCAATTAAGGGACGTCATTTGGAACATGTTGTAAAATGACATGTTATTCTAAAGAAAAAAATATTGATGATTGATAAGGAAACTGTGACAAATGTATGCTTCACAAAAACTTTATAACTATTTTATCATATATTTTAAATTTCATTATTTAACTTGAGGCGTAAAATTTTTATAAGGGTTTAAAAGTGTAACATATGTTTTGGGACACCCTGTATTATGAATGGACATGGACGTAAATGTACAGAAATTGGTAACAGAATGAGTTCGTGATTATATCTTAGTAAGTTGTGCTAATGCTTTATAAATAACTGTGGCCATGATTATTTGTTTAGACACATAAAATGGTATAATTTGATTTCAACTAATTTACATTAAAAATGTCTTTTTTGATGAATACATTTCAGCTGATTTTCTATATACAGTCTTTTTATTTTTAAAACTTATTTAGGCCTATACCTCTTAGGCCTGTATGTACATTTGGGACGAAAAGTAAGCCTTTTTTCAATATGTTATATGTAGTACATGATGTATATCATAGTATAACAGAATAAAGTTGCAGTATAACATGTAAGAAGAAGAGGCCTTTAATGAAACTGATATTTGTAGAAATAAAACAAAAATCCCAAAATATTAGGAAATGTATTTCTTATAACTATCTATTTCTGTTCCTAAACTAATTGCGGGACTTTGAAGTATTTCGTCATGCTATATTCCTGTGTAAAAAAAAAAAAAAAACTCAGTGTCAATAAAATCTGAAAGATAGTTTTTGGAATAGTTCTGTTAGCAGTAAAAAATTGATTTCGCCCACGCTTGCGCGGGATTTCAGCTAGTAGTTTGAAAAAAAGTAAGAAGAGTTTAAGAATATAAAAGTTTCTGCGCCGATCTCGAAATGATCTACAAAACTTCTCGGACCAAACCATAGCAGTAGACGACTGAACGTGGATATCCAATTTTGACCCGGAAAGTAAAATGTCAATGCAGTAGATTGGGTCTAATTCAACGGAAGATCAGTCAATGGAAAATATTACCAAAATAATGATCAAATGTTAGATATAATTTTTATTGCATAAAAAGACCAGAATGTTGTAGGCCTAACTTTTATAAAATCCACACATACGAGCCCAATAAAAGTTACACAATAAATTGAAATATCGGTTATACAGTTATAAAAAAGAACGAATATTTGATCATTAACAGTTATATATTTTTTTTTCGCAAATAAAAACGCGCAACTACGCTGTTAATTTTACATACCTAGGTCTTATCAAAGGATTAAGTTAATGCCCTCAGGAAAAATGGCCTTATTTTTACATAAATCGGGAAAACATTATTCTATTTCATAATAATGCTCCATCTCACACATCAGTAGAGACTGTATTCACAATCAACTTATAGCTGGAAGCCGAAACACTGTCCCAACCACCGTACTCACCGGATCTGGCACCTTCTGACTTTGCGCTCTCTCCAAGTCTGAAAAGCAGACCTGTTTACCCTTATCGTCGCCTCTCAGTATTTTTTATCAGATTTGTCCGTGACATTTAATGTTTGCCAGGAAAATTTCGCTTTCCATTGATTTTACGTATATAAACAGAGAACAACTGTCAGTGTTTTTTTTTCTAAAACATGGTTAAATAACGTGTTCTTTTCATTTCGTACCAATCAATTTTGGCAACTTGAAATCGCCTATCCGCTTTAAATCTTTTTCTTTTATAGTGATTAAAGGACATGAGACTGAGACAGATCATAGTGAAGATTGATAATTAAGGCCTCTCTCCAGAATTTTTATACTTAATAGTCATTAAGACGTCACCACCTGCTCTGGAGTGCTGCAAATTTATGGCTGTCAAGCAGGAAAGGGGCTGTTTCTTTCCAGCACCTACTGCAACAAAGTTCCTCGGTTTTTACGGTCTGATTTGAAGGACCGGTCATCAAGTCGCACAAGTGGGATTCGAACCCTCGACGAAAGGAGCAAGTCCTTACAGCGCAAATCTTAGAGCAGACGCCCTGCCACTGCCCCACGCGGGCAACCAGATCATAACGATTGATTTTCAATGATTGTTTTTGTTTTAAGCGGAGTTGGCATTCTTTTAGTCGTATTTTAGCAAATCCTAGTGAAAACTAACTATTAAATTCCAAACGAACGTATTTCCGTATTTTAATATTAGCAAAACGTAAGACGTATTTTGGATTAAAATTCCGAATAAAATACGGCGAAATCGGAAGAGTAAACAGCTCTGTGAAAAGCATTCTACGAGGAAGAAAAGTTCACGACATCACAGGGCTGAAGTCAGCAGTAAATCAGACACTTGGAACCTATTAACAGGGCTGATATCAGTTCATACTTCAATCCTGTGTACATCGTCATGAAACGTGTATTATTGCAGGCGGAGTTATGACGTGGTGGCGTTGCACGACGAAAAAATACTGAACCGGCAACGGCGCAGTTACCACACCTTCCACAATTAACTAAAATTGTGTTTTGCAAAGAACAGAGTTGAAATTTTCAAAATAATTTCCTTTTGTATATTAAAGTCGACAATAAATATCAATAACCCAGCTAACATAGAATTTATTTTATAGCGCCAGTCCACGAACTTTCTAATAACTCTTCGGAAATGTTTATCATACATTTAGGCCCCATTAACAATAAAGCAACTACAAAAACTGGAATTTTTCCAATTCCAAGGTTTATTTATCTGACAAAAACTGCTCAATCGTGCCAAAAATAGAACCATGCAGACCTAAATATTTTAATGACTAGTAATATAATTATATTTTAAATTTTATATCAACTTCTGCCAAAAAAAGGACTGATACTGTTGATTGACCGACCATATACATTTGTAACTATATGCCCTCGTTTCATAAATGGGATAATTCTACAAAATACAACATTTAAACAGAAAATATAATGAACATTAGGGCTGTATCAATATATAAACGTATCGATATATAAGAAAAGTATCGTATAGAAAGATAGCTGCAGAGCTGTAGCTCTCCGAAAAAAATATATTGATAGACCGGAGAGCTACAGTGCCACCCATTGAAAAAAACTATATATTTTTTGCGCACAAAAAAGTGCGCTCGGTTCTTAATTAATTCTTCCAAATTCTTACCTCAATTGCAAATAAGGAAGATTTCAAAAAAAATCCTTTATCTTCTATCACTACTCTCGTAGTTGACATCCGAACGAAGTATACTGGACCGAATTATCTTTGAAACCAAAATGGCAGTATAAAATAAGCGAAATGTTCGATGATTACAATATCAGGGTCATGGGGGCTATAAACAACAATTTTGAGGAATGTTTGGTTGTAAAAACAGCGAAAGAATATGTTAGGAACACGCGGTTAGTAATATTTTGAGATAAAATTTTTAAAAACATGGAGAAATAAAACGAGAACCGAGCGCACTTTTTGTGCGCAATAGATATACAATTTTTCCAATGGGTGGCACTGTAGCTCTCCGGTCTATCAAAATATTTTTTTTGGAGAGCTACAGATCTGCAGCTAATAGAAAGATTACTTCCAATACGTATCGGACAAGCAGGTTTTCTTCTAATTCTGCTAAAAAGATGGGAATTTTGATCAGCAAAGGTTATATTTCACTTTTTTGAATTAAAACTGATCAATAATTATAGATTCATAAAAGAAAAAACACAGTTTTTAGAATTAATATAAAATACATAATTTTATTTTTACTTGTTGATTTTACAGTCATTAAAAGTTTTGATTGGAAGTGATTATTTACTGACTATGGGATAAGAACTTTGAAATTGGTAATAAAACATTAATCTTTTTTATGAAATTAAATGATTAATAAGCCCAATTTGATGGACTTGTTGTAGTCCAATATATTGCATGTCGCTTTAAAAAATATTGTATTGTATCGTATCGAAATTTTTTGCTCAATACACAACCCTAATGTACATTGAATTTGATTGTATATTGTTTAATGTCCCTCTGAACATTTTTTTCATTCATATGGAGACGCCACCACTTGCGGTCAAATAGAATGTGACCAACATCTTAAAGATTATGTGTGCAATGACATAGAAAACAAGCATAGCTACATGTCAAAACAGGGTTTTTATAACAAAAAACCCGCAGACAGTAGTATTACTGTATTATTCACACATTTCGTCAACATTTACATATCGATGAAGAGCTTCATATGTATTTGGTGATTCTAAAGTTCCCAGTTCTGTGTAGGCAAAATCAACGTGAGGAATCTCAGAATTGACATTTGGCCGAAGAACGTCGTATGTGTTTGGTTTGTCAAGAGTACCCAGTTCTGTGTAAGTCGAATCAATCCTATGCAAGACAGAAAGGAAAGTTTCAGAAAATATAAACACTTTTTTTAGCATTTTACTTTGCTGTTAAAATGTCCTTTTGTTATAAATCGTAACGATTTATTATTAAATCATCTAAGTAAATAAGAATGAAATAGGTATATTTAATTCTTTGAGAAGGAAGATTTATGTAAAATGGAATGTATAGTATTATCTACAAATTCCAATATTGTAGAAGACGATAATAGCATCATTGTACAAGATGATAATATAATTTTCCCGATCGCGAATAGTTCTTCAGTAGAAAATAATAACATTTATTTTTAAATTTCATTATTGACTTTGTTTAAAGTTGATTAAATTATTGCATGAAAAATTGTTTCAAAATAGTTCATATTCCTTTAAAGATTTCCCCAAGGTAGGAAAGATGATACAAACCCTTGTAAAAAAAAAATGAAAATAACAACTTAAGTCATGTTTTGATGATGACATTGAATATGTTTCACTGCATGGTTTTTCTTTTATTCAAATTTTCACTAAAATGGGATTTGAAGTGAAAATATTTGTATAGCTTAAAGAGGATTGTTTCAGAGAGGTGGAACTTTGAACATCGTTTAAGTTTAGTACAATTACTTAATATCCTAGAAATTTATTTTTTTTTTGCTTCATTTTCAATGAAATTAGGCCAAATTATTTGTTTGTATCATCTCTCCTAAAATAATACATTTCCTTCAAAATCAATAAACTTTTACATACGTTTCTTCTCCAGTGGATGTACCTGAAACGTAGTTTGTAAAGGTGAAAATTAAAGCCCTATCTCGTACACGTTGTGAGGAAACAGTTCAAACGTTAAGGTCAAGGTCATGTTGCCAAAACTCGTAGTATTTTTAGAAAAGTCTAGTGACAGATATTTTACATTTGAAAGTTGAAAGTCCTAATTTAACCTCATCTAAAAGTTATGAATAAGGTCAGTTTGTTAGTAATAAAAAGTCAAACTTCGAGCTAAAAGTCACTGGGTCAAAAATCGTTATGCATTAAGAAAGGTCTCGACACAATATATTTATTAAAAGCCCTCTCAATTCTCATTTTAAAGTGTAGGCCAATTGAATTTAGAGTTAACTGTAACTTTTGAAAATTAGATCAAACTTTAAGGTCAAGTTCTTTTTCCATTCGTTTCACTGAGAGGACAGACGAATGATATTTAATGTTCCTTCGCTTTCCCGAAAGCGAGAGACGATAATGAACTATTTACAATATTACAGCAATGCTTTCGTAGAAAAAACACCTACCTGAAACATTGAGATTAATGCTTTGTCTGTAAATAAATTATAATATATAAATTGTATATCAATGTAATTACAATATTAAAATAGAAAATTATAACAAGAATGACTCGAGAAGTTGATCTTAGGAATACATGTTAACATACCCTTCTTTTACACTGTGCTCAGCAGCTACAATAGAAAAATTGTACACATGTAGGAGTTAAAATGTAGCTATACAAAAGTTTAGTACGGGTAGATGCATAGATAGGAAGGTGACGTAAGATTATAAAAAATTGTCCCACCAAATGACCTGCATCAACAAAGTATATGCTAAAATACATATCAATCATGTGTAATTGGAGAGAAAACTGCGACAAAAATTATTGGTTTATTTGGTACGGACAAACGCACAGATAATCAGGAAGCTGCTCACGAAAATTTCATTCTCGCACAAGTTTTTGATAGTATTGATTTTATACACCAACAACCAGAATTCATGCATTTTTTTCTCAGTTTAAATTCAAAAAAAAAAAATTTGCCTAAAAATAAGATGTCATTTTTTTTTCTCAAAATATTATACTTCTTTTATCCACAAACTTTGTTCAGCGTCCAGATTATCTTTGTCCGTATTGCAGAGGTTCAACTGTATTAAAAATAATCTTCGCAGAAAGAAAATTCTGTTTTCCGTAGAAATAAAAGGGATTGAAAGTCATTATTGCTAATTAAGGTAAAAGATTCAATATTTCTCTGTCTTCTAAAGATGACGTACCTCGACACGTCTTGCGTATTATAAGGAACATAACAAGACTTCCCAGGAAAAGAAGAAGAGCAGAAACTACAACACTTGTTATTATGATTGCTATGTCACTGACTGATAGCTGTGAGTATGGTTCCATTTTTTTCTGGAAAAAAAAAATCAAAGTTTATCATTGACTTTTCAATGAACATGCAGTCACAATTTAATTTAATCAATGGCTATCACAATTTAAGTGACCTCAGCTATCTTTCAGATATATCATTTTCACTTTGAAGTCTGATTATTAATACAATTAAGAGTTCGAATTCCATTTTTTCACTGTGTAGTAATAACATGTACACTTATAATAGCTGGAATCGAACCCCCTCCCGCTACAATTGATTCTTGTAACGTTTTCTCTCTTATATTTTTATACATTGATACATGCATCCCTTTCAGCTGTCACTGTATGGAATCATTAAAGAACCTTTTATTACATAGTTATGAACTTGGTCTCTAGAGTCTAGACGCAGCACTGTTGTTCTGTCTAACCAATCATTCAATCAAATGAATATTTTAATCGTGTTTTTTCTTTATCTGAAAATTGAACATTTACCTTTGGCTCAAAAAACAGATATTTCATATAAACTTTACTTAACTGCCTTTAATAATAAAATGCATTATTATTTTTTTTTTTAGGTTTTAGAATATCAAACTGTACTCATAATGTAAGCTTACCTTACTTTGTAGAAGGCATTACACATAAAGGAATTCTGTACTAGCAAACCCGGATGTAAATAAATGTTAAATATCAAGTCAGGCATGTGTTCTCGAGTTTCCTCTTTATTTAAAAGTCTTTGTGTATTTTTTCTCCAAAAACGCCTGGTTTTAAATGCAAACCAAGCCTATCAACACGTGTATTTAAAATCTATTTTAAACATATCTCCTTCATCTAATATGAATATGAATTATTAATAAGGGGTAAGACTGATTGTTTAATGTATCCTACCTTTACAAAATTATGTAACAAGCAGAACATACCAGATTTAGATTGGAGGACGTCAAATTTACAAAATATTTCTCTATACTTTGGGGTTTACGATCCTGGGTTTGACATCACGAGACGAAGTAATAACAGAAATTCTGATCCAGTTGAAAAGTGGATTTAATCAATGTAGTTCCCACTTACTTTTCATTTCAATTACTTTTCATTTAACACATTGAAATAATTAAACAATATGTAATTAAATATATGTATTCTTACATTTTGTACAAACAAAAATGCAAAACATCAATGTAAATTAATTATCTTTGTAATTACAAATATCTTTTATTACAAAGATTGATGCACGCACGCATGTAATTTATTATACCACCGCTTGAAAAGCAAGGGGTATATTAGTAATCGGTATGTCTGTCCGTCTGTTATGCTTCGGTGTACCCATCTCTTATCCGCTAATTCCTCTAATATACCACTGAAAGATATTTGATGACTTTCACAGAATCTATATTACATATTGCAACTGTGCATCTTCTATTTTACTTTTTGATCTGCCACACATTTGGGGTTTCCCATAGCAAAACATTGACATAGTCATTGTATTCATATGAGAATTAGCGGTTGGTATCATTTACTGTCAGAGCTAATTGCTCACAGTACCTCTAGTTTTATAATATTTATACTATTTCCGTAGCTACTTTTAGCAATACTTTAAAAGGGAAAATAGTGGTATACATAGAAGTATTCAAAATTTTCATAAACTGCATATGTGATTGATTGTATGATGTTTAGAATGTCCCTTTCGAGAATAATTTTCACTTATCTGGGGACGCCACAACTTGCCGGTGGAGGGCTACAAATTTTGGATGAGGGCCTTTGAGCAGGGAGGAATCTTTTTTGTGCCAGCACCTACAGCGACACGGGGCCTCGGTTTATACGGTCTCATCCAAGGACTGGTCTCCACGTCCCTCAGTGGGATTCAAATTAGCGACGTAAGGATTGACTCCTTACTTCCTGACTCTAGAGCAGACGCTCTAATCACTGCGCCACGCGGGCGACAACTGCATATGTGAAGTTTCATACCTGATATATACATCACAAGTAGACTATGTGAGAACTGCATTGAGTATCATCTGATCATAAATTCTATGATATTAAATTAGAAAAGTAACAACCACATTTTCATCAGAAGGCACTGATGAAAACTGCATGATTGATATAAACAGCTGACACTATTAAAACTGCAAAAAAATGTAAACAAACCTTAAATCCTTTACCAAGGAACACATGTATATGTGTAGAGGAAATTCGGAAGGACTTCTTGTGCATACACACGAGTACGGATAAAATTAAATTTTAGTCTCATGGTATTTAAAAAACACATATTGTCCTCACCATAGACCTATTGATAAGTAAGAATAATTACTTTTATACGCGTAACTCTGCATATGCATGCATAGTAGATTACCTTACAGGTAGGAACGAACTATAGCACACCTGCATTTTCTCTTCAATTTTAGACATGCTATTAACAGCATTTGACAAACACGCCCTAAAATATTTAGCCATTTTGTGCTAGAGGTAATCGAAAAAATAAATGGAATTCTACTTACGAGTGTTTTGTTCACTAAATCAATGTATGTGGGTTAATCATGATCATCACAACTACTCCCTTCCACGTGGAAACATGTTTACAAAATCGAGAGGTGCTGTTTTGACACTTTAAAGTGCAATAGCACTTGACAAAATAAGAAACTGCAAACCTACTTCCACTTTTCAGGTAAAAAAACGTTTGTTTTTCAACTTTTTGCAATTTAAACAAGAGGCCCACGGGCCTTATAGGTCACCTGAGTATCATGCAACAACTTTCCAGTGATTGTATTTTGATCGTGTTTTAATCCAAAAGCCATGAAATTCAAAAATTTGGAAAGAGGCACCATTGCTTATCAAAGGGCAGATTTCAAAGCATTAATTTATTTTTAGTCAAAGTACCCCCCTGGTACCCCTGACCCAGCGGCCCTGAAATTATCTATTTTGAAAGAGGCCCCTTTCTTCATTACAAAGCCAGCATTTTTTTAATGTTTAGGTTTAGTTATGAACATGAGAATAAAAATGTCCCGAATGAGAAGAAAATAATTTTTTTTTTGATAAATCAATTATTAACATTTGTACATTCTTTTTTTATGCCATTCTAATAGGCTCCTTACCACTGGACACATAATGCTTACAAATACGATAGTAGAACATTGCTTATTTCATCATCTGCCAGTTTGGGCCAGTTTTATAAATTTTGTGATGTTGGTCAATATGTATGTAAAAAATCAATTCTTTAAATGTCTTTCAATATATCTTCATTTTTTTTTTATATGTGTTAGGTGAATGTGTAGGCATTGTTCTAAAATTTACTTGATGCCTAAAATTATATTATTCCTATCATAAAACAGACAGGGAGTATTAGGGAGTAGGGTGAACATTTTTTCAATTAAGTGTAAAATAATTTTACTGGCTGATACAAATGATACTTCATGCCTGTATATATTTGTATAATTTTGCCTTTTAATAGTTGAATTTTTTCTTTATTTCTTCAGGTTATTGTTGATTTCTTCTTCAAATGGACTAAACTTCTCCCATAGTTTTATTCATTACATCTGATGCATAAGCTACCCTTTTCTGAAGAATGATGCTTAGACTGTAAGCTATAACAGAGATCTAAACAATGTCGCTGACAATATGCAATAGCTACCACAGGCAGTTTAAAACCTGGGGAGGAAAATAATTTACAGACAGATACTTTTGACAGGTTGGGCACACACCCCCAAATGGTCATTTAACACCCGTTTGGTGGTCAATCGCCCAAATCGGCGTCTGTTTTACCTACCAAATGGTGGTCTTTTTTATTCAAATCCAATTTTTATTGAAATAAAGCAAAAGCGCATTTACTTAGGTATTGGGGAATTTAAATTAACATATTCCTCGCACATTTAATACTATTTAGTCAAATTTCCATGTGGAATTTCTATGAAACATCGTAAAAACAAAACCCCCAATTGTTTGTGACGGCCGAACTATTTGCTCTAACAATACGAAAAATTATTTTGTTGTGTATATTTCGGTAAAAAATATATTTAAACAAGAGATGTTAGTCTAGAGAAGTAACTTTTCAAATGATCTTTCAATCTGCATTTATATAATTCTCTATAAAATCCCGTTAAACACGAGCTCCTCGTATTGTATTCGTATGGTGGGCACTTATCGCTATAATATTCATTTTTCCTACATTTGAATGTAACATTTATTATTTTCTTTTAGGATAAGGTTACGATTTCTGTGCGACCCTTTGTGGTTTAGTATGCATATCTATGATGTATCTACTGTATTTATTAAATATTTTTGAATAAAAAATTTACAAAGTGACATTTGCAGTTATTTTTGTTTTTATTCCAAGATTTAGATTTTCGAGCGATTATTTTATCATGAATTCACGGCATATCGTATTTTTGTAAAGAATAAAGCCATAACATGCGAAGTTAACGATATAAAAGCGAATTTTTACACTTCCTCTTATTTTACTTATTGAAAATTTTCACTAATGGGCCTCCGTAGTTAAATCAGTCTTTTGACCCAAGTTCGGAAAAGATCGTCATTTTTAATTGGTTAAGATAATTGATCGGTTACCCGGATGACAGAAATATGAAGTGATAAACACGATTTATAGGCTCAACTACGCGCGAGATGGAGGGAGTTTTTCTTTTTAAGTTAAAACACAGAAACTTTACACTTACTTACATAGGTGACGGTTTTGTCAAATATTTGAACGACACTGCGCAAAAAAGTCCGCGTTGAAATTCTGATTTTTTTCGTTCAAAGTTTAGAAAAATATCTATATTTAATTCCCCGTTAGGTGAAATTATGCACCATTTCACGTCATTCCAGAGAACTGAACAAAACGATTTTTCTCTCCCATTTGGTAGGTTAAAAAGACGCCGATATGGGCGACTGACCACCAAACGGGTGTTAAATGACCATTTGGGGGTGTGTGCCCAACCTGTTTGAAACTAACACATAGTTATCTCACCAGCATGTCATTGTGCAACAAAGTCGTCAGCATTTTATTTGTCCTTTGAACGGGTGAAACGTTTTGAATGGCACTCGAATCGATGAATTTTACACTAAACCAAGCTATCTTCTCAGATAGATCTAGCATTATTTACCCGCCGTTTCATCTTAAAACCGGAAGTGCGACTTTGTAAATTTGAAATCTCGATCCCGACTCAAATTTGACATGGGAAAGAAAAAAATGTTTTATTTTTTCTGAAAATTCTAAACCTTGAGCGGGGGGTTTATAAAACTGAAAATAAAATAAATCCTGGCCTTAAATATGTAATTAGATCATTAGCATATTAACCAGGAGCAAACGATAAGATGTTCAAAGAAATCATGCATTTCACTATGTAATCATTAGAGCCCCACCCTAAAACAAGAACCCTTGACCCTGGGGCCATAAAATTCACAATTTTGGTAGAGGCAATCTTGCTCATCATAACTATGTACTTAGTTAGTTTATCTAATACCCAGGAGCAGAGTAGAAGATTTTCAAAGAAATAATGTATGTTCACTATATAATCAATAGAGCCCCGCCCTAACACCAGAACCCTTGACCCCGGGGCCATAAAATTCACAATTTTGGTAGAGGCAATCTTGCTCATCATAACTATGTACTTAGTTAGTTTATTTAATACCCAGGAGCAGAGAAGAAGATTTTCAAAGAAATAATGTAT